AAATAAATTGTAATTGCATTTGCGCCATGACAAAAAGCAAACAATGCTTCATTTTGTGAAATCGCATAAATAATTCGACCTTTTGTGGTTTGATGATATAATGGTTCATGCTTTTTGAATATCATTTCCATATTGCCTGTTCTGAGAGAATACATTTCAACAATTTGGTGTTTATTTTTGTAGGAGTGAACAAAGAAATGATTTTTGACTATGCTAGTGTGTAACAGATTGATACAGGCTTCACCCTTATTTAAATGATTTGAAAAATGTTTAGGAAAGTTGAATCCTTCTATGGAAGCACAACTATGAGTTAAGTTACACCAACACGAGTCTTTTTGAGCTTTTCCTATGTCTGAATAACTCAATGTTCTTTTAAATATACCTGATGCATTTGTTATCACAATTGTTGCGATAACATCGTTATCGATGTCTGCTGAACTATCTTCATAAAGAGTGCAATTTTGTTATCAAGAAATCCGACAACTCCACCAATTTCAATGGAAACGGAATGCTTATTTTTTTCCTGGAATCTAAGTAAAAAAATCCAGGTTTTGCCTTTAAAATCACCTTTCTCATCATCCTGGTTTTCTAGCATATCTTTCTTGTTTTTATTCATGTCTTCATCAGAATAAAATTTTGAAAGAGCAATTAATCTATCATTTCTTGCAGTGCTAGTGCCATAAATAGGATCTGAAATAGCAATTGACAAATTCATTTTATGGTTATAATTAACTTCTCCGAACTTAAAATCAGTATTTGGAGTTTTCAAATCTTTAATATCATAGATAAGTATTTGTGAAGTATCGGGATCAAAAGTGACAATTTGTAGACCATCAGGACTTATGGCAACTCGACCGCTTGATGAGCTCTGATATGATTCATGTAATGAGACATGACTTGACATCCGTTCATCTACATCCATTATGTATTAATATTTTACTACGCGGATTATTTTTTTTTACTTAGTACCTGCTTAATTTTGTAATATCAAATTACAAAACAAAGGAAAGAAAAAAGAAATAGGCAGTAATTTTAAAAGAAAGAATTGACGATGTAGACGAAGGAGGTCAGAAAAGGTTTAGTTCCATAGCAGGTCTGTAATGCTCATCTAATATACAAAATTTCTTGTGAGCACGTGATTAACTGGCATCGCAGTAATTCATATAATTTTGAATACGTACGTACGTATCTATACGTATTATTCGCCAATTATGGATATGTTCTCAGCATTCTGAGATTTTCATTCATTTCCGAAATTTTAAAAAATATTGTTTACAAACATTTGAATTCATAAACATTGTACAGTACATTGATAAATTTAAACTTAACCGCAATCATAATTCCGATTATGCCGTATCATGAAACATATTTGATATCACATTGAATCCTTATCTAGTATATTTATTGAAAATTTCGTGATATTACACTGGTGCTTGTTTGTTAAAAAAGTTTTATGGCTTAGTCATTCGATTTCTTTTTAAATTTGTTCTTAGATTATCTGTTGGTCGTTGTTGTGGTAAGGGAGTAAATTAATTAAAACTCTTAAAAGAGTATTTTTCCAAAATGTTAATCTTGACTAAATGCGTATAATGGCTCAAAATTACTAGAAGCTTAATATATTAGTAATACATATTTAATTACATTATTAAAAAAAATTTCCATATCTCAAGTATATAAGTATATATATTATTTAAATTTTTTTGGCTTTAATCAATTTGAAAAAAGTAATAATGATAATCTTCAAGTCTTATATGGTATAGAATTTACTGTGCTTTACGCGAACTAATGAAAAGTCTTAATCATTATAATTTTAAATCTAGATTTTTACATTTTTAGATTTGTCTATCAAAAATGCGACAACGATAAATTAAAGAACCATGATTAGATAATAATTATATGCACTTTACGCGAACTAATGAAAGTCTTAATCATTATAATTTTAAATCTAGATTTTTACATTTTGGATTTGTTTATCAAAAAATGCGAAACGATAAATTAAAGAACCGTGATTAGATAATAATTATATGCACTTTACGCGAGCTAATGAAAAGTCTTAATCATTATAATTTTAAATCTGGATTTTTACTTTTTGGATTTGTCTCAAAAATGCGACAACGAAAATTAAAGAACTGTGATTGGATAATAATTATATTAGCCAATTGTTTATGTATAAAATTCTATATAATTTTAAACTTTGAAGAATTATCAGGTGTCATTGGTTTTGGAAGTGCAATGTATGTAAATTCCAATGTGATCGAAGGTTTTGGATCATGGTCACACTATTACGGATAGTACTGGGATCAGAGATTTTATGATAATTAGACATTCATGATAAATGTTCACGCCGGTAATTTACGGATAGGTCGAGTTATGAGAGGTTCTCTTTATTAGAAGAAGAGTTCAAAGAACATCTACTTCTTACTCTATACATCGGGACAGCGGACTTACTAATTCAAGAAATTAATACATAAATATCTACATCTATATCGGGAAATCTATATATAAAACCAGCGTTCGAAATGTTGTTCTCAGAGTTCTCATGATAACACAATTATAAATTTGTACACAGTATAAATCTTTTACTGTCCACTACTAAAATTTTTTGAAAACAGTAAAAATACTAAGTGTTATCATATAAGTATATAATAAACAGCTGCACAACGTTGCCTACCAAGCCAGAAGCCGATAAATATACTTGTATTAATCTGATAATTTAATAAATATTTCAAGCAATTTGAATTATTTTTTAATACTAAGTACAACTATAGTATATATTTTCTATTTTCTGTTTATTTGTTTTTTTTTTTTTTTTGTGAACATAAGCATTTGGATCTAAAATTTCAAGGCTAATGTCACACCAGTTGTACGTACGTACGTATGTAGAATATAGTTTTTTTCAAATTTGGTATTTTAATACTATTCTTGTACTGTTTTTTCCATATTTGGGGTTTTTTTTTCTTTATACGTATTAAATAAGTGAATTTTTTCTTTGTTACCCATAAAAATACTTATCAATGATATTAATGATCAGCATCACTTTTTTGGAATATTAAGCGGATCGGCCCGAATTTAGGGTCAGAATAGGCCGGGATTGATGAATTTTTTCTAAATTTTCCCAATAAACTGGCAGCCTATATATTAAGTAAAATTGCTCAGCTACTAATTTTGCTATAGTATAGTACTAACATAGTTAGCCAGTATTATTGTTTAATGCCGGCCAAGCTCTGGCCTGCCTATTCCGACCCGAAATTCGGGCCGACCTGCTGAATTTTGGTTGTGCTACTGTGAGCCGCAGAATGGTAATCTCGTATTGAACCTAGGTGCCGCACAAAAAATGCGCGGCAGATCCTCGATTTTGATTGGCTAAAAAAAATTAAGCCGAAATTACTCATAATTTTACTAATGAAATCGCAGCCGCCCATTAAGTGAAAATTGTTCCTGGGTCAATTTTACCATAAT